TGTTCAATTCAGTGGCATTTAGCACATCCACAGTGTTGTTTGCCACAGTCACCTCTAATTCCAAAACATTTCACATCCCCAAAGGAGACCACTGACAGTTATCAGCCACTTGCCATTCTTCCTTCTCCTGAGCCCTTGGCAATGACTCATCTGCTTTCTGTCTCTGTAGATTTGCCTGTTCTGAATATTTTCTATAAATGGAATCATACAATATGTGGCCTCTTGTATCTTGCTTCTGTCACAGCATAATGTTTTCAAGTTTCATCCACCCCTGTTGTAGCATGTGAAGAGTGGCCATTGAAGGAGGAGGACTTTTAAGGGATTTATAGGGACTGTCCAGATCTCAGCAAAACCATCAGTTCTGCTAGGTGGATTTATCTAGCGGTGAGGGGGTAGATGGGGCATCAAGAGTATTTGTGACTGTAAGGTCCAGCCTGAGCAAGGAGGACAGGGACAAAGATCTGCTTTGGTGATGGCAGATTGACTGCTAGTGAAGGCAGACAGGAGGAGTGACTGGATAGAAACTTGTCTTAAGAGGGAGCAGAATGTCCTATTTCAAAGGATTTGGGCCCATTTAGGGTCCTAAGTTAGAGAATGCGTGTGGAAACATGAGCTCATCTAAAGTAGGTTTCATCTCGTCTTTTCGTAGATCAGCGCCACCCATAACTGCCTGTTGCAGTAGTAATGGACACACACTTTCTAAAGTTGCAAGTGAGGTGGAAAGCTCTATAATCTTGCCCTGCTGGGTAATGGTGCTGCATGCCTGTTGTGATTGCCTCCTACTCTGCTGGAAGCAGTGTGGGGAAAGCAGACCTTGGGTTCTTTCTGCTTTCTCTGGAAAGCCATTATGGCTGAGTCACCGTACTTGCTGGTGGTTAGGACGAGGCTGCTTTCCAGGCTGCTTTCCAGCCTCACAGTTATCCCACAGATATATAATGCCTCCAGGACTTAAATGTTAACCATAGGTTAAATCATTTGTATTTGGGGTATGATGAGAATGTACACAGAGGGATCTGACTAGTCTGAGACTCTGTGGGAGGAATTAGGGAAGATTTCTCTGGTGTACACAGACAGGGGAGAAGTGGGACAGGAGGGTAAGGGAGCTTTCCCCACGTAGGAGCTGCCTGAGTCAAGGACATGCTAGAGAAAGTGAAAAGGAAACAGGTGGGATTGTGGGGCAGTGAGCAGGAGGGAGGGGGGCAGAAGTTGGGCTAGGGAAAACAGGTGTGGGCCTGGGCGTGAAGGGGCCTCTAAGCCAAGTGAGGGATTGTAGGCTGTATCCACAGTGCAAGGGGTCAAAAGGCTTCAGGCAAGAGTGGCCCCATCGATTTTGGTGGTTAAAAAGAACTCAGGTATAATGTGGAGGTGGATAGAAGAGAGCAAGAATGAGTGCCTGAAAGCCAGCTGGGAGACCACAGGAAAGAAAATGGGCCTTGGTGGTACAGCTAGGAAGAAGTGGATATTTATAAGATGCTCAAGGGGATAGCTTCAGCAGGCTAAGAGATGACTGAGTTATTCTGATACCCTATCCCTTCTGTCTACTGTGTCCTTTCACACCTTCATATCTCTTCATGCTGTGCCTTCTGCTTGAAATATCCATCAACCATTCTGCCTCCTAGGCCTTCCACCCTGTGAAGTCCTTAATAACCTGGCCAAATGCCACTTGCATGAAGTCTTCCCTGATGCTGTGTTCAGAGTTAATTCATTTAACAAATATTTATGGAGCATCCACATTTTGATGTGCTTTAAATCATTGCTGACTTGGTTTTCTGCTCGAATGGAATGTTTAACACGTGCCAGCCAATTAACGTGGCTGCTTAATAAAGTCGAGGTAAAATTTGAGACACTTTTCAGGCCTACCTAGTGTCACAATTCTTCCCAGATTGTGGCAGCCCACTCCCGCCTCCTCTTCTTGAATAGCAGTTTCCTTATTTCCTTTCCCTGTTCCTTGGTCTACCCAAACCTACCAGTCTCTTCTGTGACAGTTGAAGGCCCCTTCCTCTGGCGAAGACTCTCGATGGCCTGGATCTCCCTCCTGAGCACAGCTCTTGGCTCTGTGGCTCTCCATCTCTGACTGGGTGCTAGTAAGATATTAACTTTTCATGTGAGTCTAGTTGTATTGGACAGTTAGAGACTCTGTCAGGCTCATTGCATCCAGAAGAGTGCTTATGAATACATAAATATCCACAGGGTGGGGCATCACATCACCTTCATGGTTTTCCATGAATGATAGGTAAGATATGAGCACTTTTTTAAAAAAGCAACATTTGGACACAAGTGTCAGATGTTTGGCTTATGACTCGGTAATGGGTATCTTAAGCCTAGAAGTTGTGTTTTAGGTTGAAGAATCATACATGATTCTCCTTGGCTGTCTTTATCTATAAATTGTTCTGTCCTTGGGTAGGACATCTAGACACATGTGAAGTGACCAAAGTGGCCATTAGTCAATCGAGTGTGAAACGTAGCATTTTGGAGAGTAAATTGTGGAGGAACTTCCCTGAAACCTTACTAGTAGGGTAGGACATTCACGTTAGAGAGTGGGTCTAGGGTATTAGACTGAGTCAGGGAGACCAGGTGACTTTAAGCACAGTGCTAAAAGTCTAGTCTACCTTGTTTCAGTCTAGATGGAAGAGGGGTACAGTGTCCCCAAAAAAAGTCCTTGGCCTCGGGTTAATCCGTAGGCCCCAGTTAAAGAAAGGTGGATACGTACTTATGCAATATTGCTCTAGGCCTTTTCTAGAATTTCGGTAAGTGTCTGCTGTCAAACCTCAAGTGAATTCTTTTCCTTTTTGATACACTTTGGAGATGAAGACATTCTGATATATTTTTTTTTAATGCGAGCCCATTCTTCTGGTTTCTTTCTCAATCTAAGACTAACTAGTTATTCCAGACTCATTGCTGTAGAACAGTATTCTGCCCTCTTTCCTGATTCTTTTTCTTTTTGAGACAGGATCTCTGTCTTGTCCTCAGGCTGGAGTGCAGTGGTACCATCTCGGCTCACTGCAACCTCACCTTGTGGGCTCAAGCCATCTTCCTGCCTCAGCCTCCTGAGTAGCTGGAAACACAGGTACATACCACCACACCTAGCTAACTTTTCTATTTTTTTGTAGAGATGGGGTTTCTCCATGTTGCCCAGGCTGGTCTCAAACTCCTGGCCTCAAGCAGTCTACCTGCCTCAGCCTCCCAAAGTGTTGAGATTACAGGTTTGAGCCACCATGCCCAGTTGCCATTCTTTTAACTCTACTTAATCTATGTTTTTAAATGTATTTTTAGTTACATAAACTTATGTAATCAGTATCCATAGAGATCTGTAGCTGATTTTATTTTTTTGTTGTTGTTGAGACCGAGTCTCATTCTGTGACCCAGGCTGGAGTGCAGTAGCACAATCTCAGCTCACTGCAACCTCTGCCTCCCAAGTTAAAGCAATTCTCCTGCTTTAGCGTCCTGAGTAGCTGGGATTATAAGTGTATGTCACCATGCCAGGCTAATTTTTATATTGTTAGTCGAGACAAGGTTTCACTATGTTGACCAGGCTGATCTCGAACTCCTGACCTCAAGTGATCAGCCTGCCTCAGTCTCCCAAAGTGCTAGGATTACAGGCGTGAGCCACTGTGCCTGACTCATAACTGATTTTCTTAAATGCTGCATATCTGTATTTTAAAAGGGTACGGGAAAAGCTTGTTACTTGTCCTGACTCTAGAAACTAATACTGGACATGGTAGAGCCATTTCTCTTTCCATGAAGTTTCTATTTATAGAGACTTTTTTAGTCATAGCTTCACTAAAATCATGTTATCACTATTTTTGCTTTTATGTCATTTCTGAGCAGGCCTACTACTCGAGAATTAACATGACCTCATTTATCCTGTTTCTAGGATGCCAAAATCTGATGATTCATTTGAATGGGAAAGAAAAACCAAATTAAGTGTCACGTAAACATTGTAATTAATAAAACCATTGACTCACTGACATTCTATTTTGTACACCATTTTCTTCCCTTTAGGTTGTCTTGGGCATAAAGTATTCCTTGCCTAAATCTTAGATGACTACTTGGGACCTAGTAGTGTGTTGCAGGTATCTGTAGGTTGCCAGTTTGATGCATTTTTGTATTTTCCTAGCAAAGTTAAATTTAGTCTAATCTCAATATGAGTGACAGTTAAAAGTGCAGGTTGTGGAGCCAGCATCCAGGGTTTGAATCCCATTTTCCACCAAATGCAGGCTCGGTAACTGAGCTTATTGAGAAGATGAAATTAAATAGTACATATGAAGTGCATGGTATGATGCTTAGCACACATTGTGTTCAATATTAGCTACTATGATTATTATCCTTGGTGTGTTTCCTATTTTTAATGGTGTTATGGTCCTGAAGCAAGGGACTCACTAAAGGAAGAATATTATGGTTTCATAATGAAATCCTCTTAACTCGTTAGTGAAGCATTACGGTCTGTAATGATGTAAGCTTTGTTTGATGCTGGAACAAATTAGGCCAGAGTTAATGCCATTTCATCCTATTAACCTTGGATAGCTTATCTCAGTGCTTGCCCAACGTTTTGCTGGTGGAGTCTTCTTTTTCAGTGTGATGTAATTCCCAGATAGTGGGCTGGTCGTTCTTATGAGAATTTAATGCCCAGGTAGGAGTTGGTTGATTCTAAATGGAAGTTGTTGTGTCCTGTGCTGTTTGTGGCGATTGAGCCGAAAAGTGCAGGCAAGAGGACTCTTTGGGGTTTCTCATTTGTGTCCTGTGACATGCGTATGAAATCTCTCTGTGAGCAAGTATAAATATTTTTCCAACTGCTCACTTAGTGCCTCCACATGGGATTGGAAAAATCAAGCTGTTTTATGCTGCTTTATTGACAATAATACTAATAACATAAACCAAATTTGGCTGACTCAGCTACTGATTAGGAAAAATAGCCTGTCTTCTGCAAAATGTTATATATATGATTAAAAAAACAACTAGAGGAGTCTTCTTACTTCAAGTTGTCTTTTTTTTTTTTTTAGATGGAGTCTTGCTCTGTTGCCCAGGCTGGACTGCAATGTCGTGGTCTCGGCTCACCGCAACCTTTGCCTCCCAGGTTCAAGTGATTCTCCTGTCTCAGCCTCCTGAGTAGCTGGGATTACAGGTGTGTGCTACCACACCCAGCTAATTTTTACATTTTTAGTAGAGACGGGGTTTCACTATGTTGGCCAGGCTGGTCTTAAACTTTTGACCTCGTGATCTGCCTGCCTCAGCCTCCCAAAGTGCTGGGATGGGATTACAGGTATAATCCACCATACCCAGCCTTCAAATTTGGCCTTTTTAAAGGTATTTTTGTGCCCCTCTCACCAGAAGTGGATTTTCTATTTTTCTACAGGGTTTCTATAAAGCTGTGGATGGCTTTGTAGATTGTTTTTAAAAAGGCAGTCCATGTCCCCAGACAAAATAGGTATTTAACAAATGAGCTTGAACTGTGCTTTTTAAAAATCCATACTTGTTCTCAAGGATTGCTATTGTTTATGTGAAGTGTAATACTTCTTAGAGGTTTTAAAAATTGGTAACTAGACTGAGCTCCTTGGTTTGAGGGGAAGTTTTTGTGGAATGCAGATAGTTCTATTTACTATATACTAATAACCTGAGAGAAAGAAAGGCTCCTAACATAGGTGACCTGTTAACAAATACCAGATTATGTTCACAAATTAATCCTTAGGCAAGCAGAGCACACAAAATTTGCCATTCACTTTTCTCTTACCAATGTTAGCTGAAATGGCTATTTACACAAATTTTCAGTGTGTATATTTAGTGTTTATTTGTATTCAGCTGTTGGGATTTCTGTATGATTTATATTTCTGACTTGTATAGTGTTTTATATTAGACCAAATTAATGAAGAATTTTTTCTTCATGAGATGGTCCAATTATGGCAATGATGCAGTTATATAGGCTGTTTACATAGACCTTGCAAGTGTGAACATTAATAGATAAAAATGTTTTGAAAACGAATTTCACAGTGCATCCTAAAAGACTGGCCAATTTCTGGGAGTGTCACCCATGGAAATACTTTAATATATAGCTAAAGTTTTATGTGTAAAGATGTTTTTTGCAGCATTATCTAAAAATAATTAAACCTTGGAAACCTTAAATGTCTAATATTAGAGGAATAAATAAAAGTATTTATATAAATATTGCTCCAAAAGTCAAATTACGTTTGTGAAAATGATTGCTGGCAGCCTTTGTTCAGGTAAATGATCCAAATGCAGAACTGTGGATGGTGATGTGCATGACACCTGCAGGACTGACCCTGCTTGTAGCATTTAACCCTCTTGTCACAGGTAATGTTATTGGAAATAACTCAGCCTCCTGAGGTGCTGGGGTCACAGGCGGGCACCACCACTCCCAGCTAATTTTTTGTAATTTTTGTAGAGATGGGGCATGGTCTTGCCATTTTGCCCAGGCTGGAAGCATGTGCTTTTTTAAAGCATAAAAAAAGGTACAAGAAATAAAATTGTATTTATTTATGTAAATTTATATATGGTAACAGCAAAGCTTTTATGCTAAATGCTGTACACAAACCACCTTATCTCATTAGGTATTCTTGTTATTTCCATTTGAGGAGAATATTCCAGGTGAGGAGATTGAGGTTTGCAGACATGTACTCACCGAAGATCACTCCACTTAATTAGAGATGGTAGAAGGGGTGACATGGATTCAGCCACACTCTTCGTACCGTTTTGTTTTTACTTCAAAATGAAATAAGTATTTTTTCTCTGCTTTCCATATTTTCTATAGTAGACATTTTACTGTAGAAAAAAATGTTATTGTAACATGGGGAGGCAATAGAATGTAGTGGTTCAAGGGGTAGGCTCTGGAGTCAGTTGGCCTCTTCTCATTGTAACCTTGAACGAGTGACAGTGATCTCTGCCTGAGTGTACTCATCTGTGAGGGTGCTGGCCATAGGACTGAAGTTATCCTTGAAGATATACGGCAGAAAGACTGGCACGTAGTCAGGACGGAGTGAGTGTTAGTTGCTATTATCATTATCATGATCTGAAAAGAAAAGAACTTGAAAATAAGGCTGTCAGGTTGGGGGGACCCATGATTTGAAGTAGTGGGCTGGATTAGGTTTTAAATGGTTATCTGGTTCTCCTGGAGAGACATTAATGTGATGAGAGAAGTCACTTTAAAAAGCTTCCTTATAAGCATTCAGTCATTAGCAGACCATTTAGTGAAGGAAATAGCAATTTGCTAAATAATTCAACCTCCTGAAGTGTGTTACATAGCTGGCTTAAAGTTTTCTTAGGACAGCAAGAATACATAAGTCCCTAACAAATGTGTGGTGGAGGTCCTAGCTTAAGGATGAACTTCTTACATTTAACACTATGAACTTAAATGTACAATTCATCTTTCTTATTTTTCCCTATAAGAGAATATGTCAATACAGTGAATTTTCACTAATTTGCACTCCACTAATTTAAAATCTGTGACATGCCTCCTGTTCCAACAGGCTATGAAACATACACATGAGACTATAAATCAATTTATTAATAAAATTAGTAAAGTGGTGAAATTCTAGGCAAATAGAAGTTTCCATATTCTCTTATTCCAGTCTGCTTGCCACCCCTCCACATGCCCACAGCCTCCATGCTTCCTCACTCACCACATGGCACCACCCTCCAGAGTGCAGTGTGAGAAACCAGGAGTTTGGACTCCCTCCTCTCCCTCACCTTGCACACCCTGAACATCTCTCCTGTGTGGCTCCTGCATTCCCTCTCCTACTGTGCCTTTGGAGGGCCCCCATCTCTCATCTCGGCTCTTGCAGTCCTTTTTAAAACAACTTGACGCTGATCTCACCCACTTTTCAGCCTCTTGCCCCCACTCTCATCCCTTCTTTACCAACCCTCCCAACCCCCCAGTTTAAAAACAAACTCTGGAGCTTTTACCTCCTTCTCCAACATCATTTTCCACTTTTTCACCTCTGCCTTCTGTCTGATCCCCACTAGCAAGCCTTAAACATTCCTCTTCGCAGAGCTTCACCTGACCTACTGGTCCCCATGCAGAATTGACTGCTCTCTATTCATGCCCTAACCCCACCCATCCTTTTCTCCTGTACATACTTTGTCATGGCACATCTATCACTTTATTACAGTTATTTATTGTTTCTCCTTCCATTGCTAGAGACCTTTGACCTCTCTGAAGGCAAATTTGTGGTCTTGTGGATTTCTGTGTTTCCAATGCCTGTGACAATGTATGTTTGATGAATGTTTGCTGCTGATGATGATAAAAATAGCTGCCACACATTGAGGTGCTTATACATTGTGCCAAGCACTTCATATAATTTTATGATCTCATTTAATGCTTGCAGCAACCCGATAAGGTATAAGCATTATTGTCCTCAGGTTTATGAGTTGGGAAACTGAGGTCTATGTAGGTTTAGCAGCTTGCCCAAGGTAATATTGCAGTGTATGCTGTTGCAGTGTAGTTTCAGAGCCTAGAGGACTCTAACTCAAATTACACATTTTACAGATTACGTATTTCTCATAGAGATGGTGAGAATCTATAGTCCTGTCGGTGCCACTTCATTATGAGTTAAGTAGTTTAGGGCTGGTCTGGAGATCTGTCCACCACTGACAACTAGGGTTAACTTGAGGACTACTGGTATTTGCGGGACCTTGTAAATGTCAGTCAGTTTAATCCAAACTGTCATTTTGAGATAGACAGAATTTCCCTTTTGTTTTAATCAGATTTTCACAAGTAATGTAGAACCCCCAGAAATTTAAGAACAACTAATGTAACATTTCTTCTGAAAATTATTTTTCAAAGGCCAGATGACTAATTTCATAAAATGAAGATTATGTGTTTTGATAACTTGACTAAATGAATGAAAACGATTCACCTTAGAGACCTAGGTTTCTTAAAAGTGAAAATTTTCTTTAGACTTTATAAATACTTGTTCCTTTATCTCTTAAATGGAAAACTACCTCTCTGTTACGGACTGAAGGTTTGTGTCCCCCTACTCCCTATTCATATTTTAAAACCCTAACACCCAAAGTGATGCTATTAGAAGGGTGGGGCCTTTGGGAGTCAATTAAATTTAAATGAGGTCATGAGGGTGGAGTCCCTATGATGGGATTAGTATTTTTATAGTAGGAAGAGGAGCCAGTACTCTCTCCACCCGTCCCCATGTCCCTAAGTCCCCAATTCCTAGGAGGATATAGCCATCTGAAGCCAGGAAGAGGACCCTTATCAGGAGCCTAATTTGCTGGCACCTTGATTGTGGACTTCCTAGCCTCCAAAACCTTGAGAAGTAAACGTTTAATCTAGCAGCATGTGGTATTTTCTTTATAGCAGCACAAGCTAGCTAAGACCCTGTCCTTTTCTTCTCCAACCCAGTTGCAATTTATTAAATTGTTCATGTATGTGAAAAAAATCATTGGAGAAAAACATAATACATTTAAACATGTCACTGCTTCTATAGTTACATTAATTTTCTTCAAATAATTGTTTTCATTGAATTCTGCATAGGAATTATGTGGTAGCTTTTCCAAATCTGTTATTATACACTATTTTATAATCCATCCTCTTAACTCCCAACCAGTAAAATGTTCTTGCCTTCGAGGGTGGGTGCGTGTTAAGCTGTTAATTTGTGCTGATTTTTTTTCTTTTTAATTTAGTTTCTTTTCTTCACTCAAATTGTAACACAAGACATTAATGTCTATGTTTTGAAATGAACTGAAAATATGAGTCCTGACTGGAGGAATAGCTAGATTTCTGAGCTGAAAGGAAAGGACCAGGTTCTCTGTCCCTACCACTTGCCATAGTACCTTAAACACATTTAGTGCTCAGTAAAGGCATACTGTTAAAGGATTATATATGCCATTGTACAATCTCAGTTCTTTGCCTAAAATTTTCACGTTTGACTTCTCCAGGAATGCATTTCTATAATTTCTATACAGGAATAGGTATTTGTTTCTCCTTCACTATGTCCTTACTTTTCATTTTGGGACCTGTTGGTGTCTCTCCCTTGGTGTACTGGCTGTAGATGGCACCTAATTGACTTCATGTTAATTTGATCACTGGCTTTCCTTCGTTTTGTTACAGCTAAATGCCTCTATGACAGCTTAGAGTTAAGTATTCGAACTTAGAAAGAA